TAAAGGTCCTGGTAGACCTGTATGGGATCTGATATGTGTTATATATATAGGATGTTCCCTTTTTCTGATGATTTCCTGTAGTTGTATGAATAATGAAGTTAATTCTGTATTATCAGGAATAAATTCAGCAGTTTCAATATGTAAAACAACTCTCTCTGCATATTGAGAGTCAGTGACTATATTGAGGGGTTCTGTGAAGTCCATCAGTACCATAAGAATGGCATACAGTTCTGACTTTTGTACAGAGTTATATGGACTTTGTACCACTTTACTTAAGTCTCCTGATTTATATCCTGCTTTCCCTGATTTATTTGCATCAGTGTAGAATGTGAGGACTCCAGAAATTGGCTTTTGTCGTACAATGTGAGGAAGGACCCATTCAGTCTTCTTTATGAATTCTATTTTCTTGCTTTTGGGATAGTGGTTGTTAATCTCTCCCAAAAAGTTACTGCAGGCTCTCTGCCAGTATTCATTATCTTTCCATAGTGATGAAATTTCCTCATTAGTTAATGGTACTACAATTTTTGCTGGGTCCATTCCTGTCAACTGACGAAGTCTTAATTTACCCTTTTGAATCAAATCAGAGATCTTTTCTATATAAGTCTTTAATACCGGCGGCTTCCGGAAGCCGGCAGCGGCCCGGACAGTAGCGCCGGCGATTGGCATGGTGACTCCCTCTTAGTCCCGGCGGTGTGCGTTTCACCTAGGAAACGGAATGGCGCTTCTGTGTTACAACCGCGGCTGTGGCCAGCGTTTCGACCCCGAGGCTAACGCGGACGATGCTTGCACATACCACCCAGGTGTACCTGTATTTCATGATGCCCTAAAGGGTTGGTCTTGCTGTAAGAGAAGAACAACTGATTTTTCTGACTTCTTAAGCATCGTAGGTTGCACAAAAGGTAGACATAACAGTGAGAAGCCACCTGAACCAGTCAAGCCTGAAGTCAAGACTACAGAGAAGAAGGAACTGTCTGAATTAAAACCCAAATTTCAGGAACACATCATTCAAGCCCCTAAACCAGTAGAAGCAATAAAAAGGCCAAGCCCAGATGAGCCAATGACAAACTTGGAATTAAAAATATCTGCTTCCCTAAAACAAGCACTTGATAAACTTAAACTGTCATCAGGGAATGAAGAAGAAAAGAAAGAAGAAGACAGTGATGAAATTAAGATTGGGACTTCTTGTAAAAATGGAGGGTGTTCAAAGACATACCAGGGTCTACAGAGTTTAGATGAAGTCTGTGTATATCATTCTGGAGTACCTATTTTCCATGAGGGGATGAAATATTGGAGCTGTTGTAGAAGAAAAACCTCAGATTTTAATACATTCTTAGCCCAAGAGGGCTGTACAAAAGGGAAACATGTGTGGACTAAAAAAGATGCAGGGAAAAAAGTTGTTCCATGTAGACATGACTGGCATCAGACTGGGGGTGAAGTTACCATCTCCGTGTATGCTAAAAATTCACTGCCAGAGTCTCAATGGGGGTTGGAGCTTCCAGATCCAAGCTGGAATGACTACCCACTACACATGATGAATGTATAATACACATACACACAAACACATAGCACAGTTCACAAGAAGCTATAAGCACTAGTGAAAAATTGGAGGACAGACAGGTAGACTTATTAGCCTTACCAGTCATTGTAAAACCTTGGTACTTCTTGGATTCTGTATTAATCACTTATTTGATATTTTTAATTACACACACAAAACCAAACATTAAGACAATTTACTGGGTAGACAACACATTCCCATTAAATAATATTAATTATTACAATGCATGTGTTGTTTTATCAGGTCCTCATATACTTTGTTATTCATCTACTCAAGTAGCAGATACAGTTGAGTGTCACTGTGTGCTAGGCACTGGAGTGTGTATGGGAAGTGAAAAATTCATATAAGGTACAGTCCATTTCTTTGAAGAGCTTACCTTCCATGAGGATGAAAAAAGTAATTCCCTAAATAACTAGCTATTTCCAATGATGGTAAGTTGAGCAAGGAGGGGAGTATTGAGTGATAGAATTTAAGCCTGAAAGGGTCCTCAACAAAGGCTTGGAAGAATACATAAATTTTGAGTTAATATAAAAGATGAGCAAAATTGTGATCAGAGAAAGTGGAAGGAAAAAGGCAGAGGTGTACTTCAGTCACACATAAGACTGATCATGTGTGAAATCCCTGAAGCAAGAAGGAACACTACCAAATCAGTAAATGAAGAAATTCTAGTATGACTGGAGCCTACAGAGTGAAAGCAAAAATGTGACTGAGGCTAAAATAGGGTGTATTTTAAGAGCAATGCAAACTCATGAATAGTTTAAGGTAGAGGAACAGAAAATAATATTTGAGCTAAATATGTTTTACTTAGCTTATATTGTGGACAGTGGACTGGAAAGAAGCAGGCATGAATAATGTATCTAGGACTTATTGTAGTTGTCTGGGCATAATTATGGTGGGAACCCAGATTGAGAGAAATGAATATGCTTGATATATATATATATATATATATATATATATATATATATATATATATATATTTAACTTTCTTTTTTGAGAATTTTATGTTTTTACAATGTTTCAATCAAATCCACTACCAGTCCTTTACTTACAATTCTTCCTCTATCCTCCATCATTTATATTCCCAATTCTCTCTTTCTCTCTCTCTCCCTCCCTCCTCTATCTCCTCTTCTCCTCCCTGTTTGTCTTCCTTTCTCTTAAGTCTACTGAATGCACTTCATTCTATCTTTATGTGAATGGGAATAGTGGGAATAGGACTATCTACTGGAGCATGATAACCTCTTAGTGGGCACATTTCTGAAGAAAACTGATTACACTTCCCTCAGAAACCATCAGCTGTCAATAGATTCTCAGCTAGGAGTGACACTTCATGAGTTCTTCTTTGTCCAGGCTTGAGTTTTGGCTGTTGATGCCTACTACTTATGGCCCTAACAATCATTCTTCCCTTTCCTCTACAATGATTGAGCCTTGTGAGCAGAGACTGTTACACAGACTTTACATTTAGAGTTGAACATTCCATACACTTACTTTCTGTACACTGATAAGTTGTGGGTCTGTGTACTAATAAGTATATACTGCAAAAATAAGTTTCTCTGATGAGAGTTGAGAGACGCACCAATTTAGAACTATGGGGCAGTTTAATACTATGACATTTATCAGGATAATGGTTCTTGTTGGGTTCTTCCCTAAGAGTTATGCCACATACTTCAGTTATAGGACATGAAGAAATAAAGCTGATACTGACTTAGTAGCTTCATTTCTACTGAGTAGATTTTACATTGCCAAAGGGTTCTATTTATGCTACCAGAGGAGAAACATCTTACAAAACAAAAAATACCCTGCTGTGAACCCTGTGAGCAACAACAATGACTGTCCTGACAAGATATGGCCACTGGTGCAATGGAGGCATGAATGTTATGGCAGTAACCAAACATTTTCTGATTGAATTTAAGTGCTGGTCCACAAGTTGGAACTCATACCCGGTACAGTTAACTAGGTCTTCAATGCTTGCAGTATGTTTTAAACATAAATCTGCTCTGAGATGTTGATATAGTTTAAGAGTTGAAGAAAAAGATGTGCTTAGGATGATTCTTTTTTAAAAAATATATTTGTTTACTTTAAAAAAATTAATTCATTTTATATACCAGCCACAGATCTCCCTCTCATCACTCCTCTCACTCACCCCCCTCCAGCCCTCCCCCTGACCCAATCCCCATCCCCTCCTCCAAAAGGGTAAGCAAAGCCTGGCACATTCAGTTGAGGCAGGACCACACCTACCCCTGCTTCATCACAGGATGATTCTTGATGCTTTGACTTAAGTGAGTAAAAGGTGGAACTGTATTTAAGACAGGAATTACAAAATAAAGAGACAATTTGCAAATGCGGTTGGAATATTTTGGAGCTTAGTACTGAACATACTGAGAAGAGATACTAAGTAAGGAGTTAAATATAGTTCTAGAGCTGAGAAAAAAGACCCTAGGGGAAAAGCCCACTCAACTATTGATTTGTAGAAAGATAGTATTTATAGTGGAATATACCTTTAAACACACAATAAATATGTAAAGAATTATTATTTTTCAACTCAGAAAACATTTAAGTATAAAATTAGTGTCATGGTGATTTAATAGGCACTCGTTTCTTAGATACAATTCATTGTGCCATAACTTATCAACATATTTCAGCTCTCAAAAATAGATGTCCTTGGAACAAAAGCCAGCAATTTAGATGTTTTTTTAATGCCATTTCCTGACATTGTCAACTCCTGTATTATTTATTTACATAAAATGTAAACAAGGTTTTTAAGGAGAAAAGACATTTTAACATTTCTTTATTAATAAGATTTATATTTTTCTAATACAGTGATTATTTTTCATCATATATGAAAATGTGATATATTTAGAAAATATACAGCAAAAGATGTTGGTAATATTATCTTCATGAAGACCATACTTTTTATCTTCAGGGGAAAAACAACTTTAAATATGGGGCAAGAGAGAGTGGAAAGTCAGTAGAATGACATGTAAACTTTCTGAAGACGAGAGTTTTTGCCTATTATTTGCTCTTATCTCAGCATTTAGACTATAAATCATCTACTTACTAGAAGAATAATTAAGTTTTAAAGAATAAATTTATAAATTACTTCTATAGTTACACTTGTGATTATTTGGAAAATTTTCTGAAATCATGGAAAGTTACTCATATTTAGAAAAATATGAGTATAATGTACACATAATATGTGCATGTATGAATGTATACACATATATCTCCCAAGGGGAATGCAATGCTATTTGTTTGTATTCTATCTTTCAGTGGTTTCTCATGGCCAGAGGAGATTTTGGAAAGTTTCCTGTGCTTACTTTGGGCTGTTTTAATTTTAATTTACATTGATATATCAGACACCTCACAGATAACATTTATTTTAGTTCTGATAAAACTCAAAGCTTTCTTGTCATAGCAAGGCAAATGATGTAGTGACTTACTGAATAATACATTATGTTCAAGGAATCTATTTTCCAAGAGCTACATACTCCTCAGTGGCTCATACCATGAGAGAATTCTATACGATAGTAAGATAATCCATAAACATAACTAGGAAAACTATAATATTCATAATGATTTTACCAAAATATAACAAAAATGTCTAGCAAAACCCATTTTAAACCAGTTCTTATGGAACTTTTAAAATTAAGAAATGAATCAAATGTTTTAAAAAATTCAAGACACTTCATCGTGACAAGTAGATATAAGGGTGAAAATGGCCTGGTCTTTGTCTTTAGAGTGCTCAGTATCTGCTAAAGAAGTCAGAATTGAATTCAGGAAATAGTTGTAAATTCCTCGTGTGAAAACAAATTTAGGTTAACTGTGCTGGGTAAAAAAGAGAAGCACAACTTAATCTCTGTTATGCAAAGCTTGACACTTTATAGTACTGTATGTCTGGGTGTGCATTTTGTGTGTATGTGTGGGGATATGAGAACTTATAGGAGTCAACATACTTGAAATTTTAGTGTAATGTAGCAGGATTTGATAAAGTTGCAATATCTTGTAAGGAACTAGCACAACATAGAGAAGGAACGAAAGTAAGATAAAATAAAAGCTTGCTAAATTTTTCTTTAAAAATATTTGTAAACATAGCTTGCTGGTTGTAACCTGTAATATCAGTACTTGAGAAGCTGAGTATTCTAGGCTGCCCTAGACTACATTAATGGGACCTTGTCTCAAGAAATGTATTACTTAAAGTTTTGATTGCTTTGCCTCCAAAGTTTATTTTTGGTTTCCGTTTATTATGATTATTGTTTTAAAAGTTGTTTATATAATATGTACTTATCTTTGTGCATGTCTGTGTACCGTGTGAATGCAGTGCCTGGGGAGCCTGTAAGAGGGCGTCAGATTCTTTGGATTTGGAGCTACAGGTGTTTGTAAACTGCCATGTTTGTACCAGGAATAGAACCGGGTCCTCTAGCTGAGCAGCCAGTGCTCTTAACCATCAAGCTACATCTCTAGCTTCCCTTTTATTTTATTATTTTTTAACAGTACATGAAGTTGTGCATATTTATGTGGGATCAGGTGGTGTTTTAAAACATGTATACATTAGTTATTTATTTATTTTTTTTTGGTTTTTCGAGACAGGGTTTCTCTGTGTAGCTTTGGGCCTTTCCTGGAACTCACTTGGTAGCCCAGGCTGGCCTCGAACTCACAGAGATCCGCCTGCCTCTGCCTCCCAAGTGCTGGGATTAAAGGCGTGCGCCACCACCGCCCGGCTAGTTAATATTTTAATAAGGTTAAGTATCTCTTCCTTAGCAGGGCGGTGGTGGCGCACGCCTTTAATCCCAGCATTTGGGAGGCAGAGGCAGGCAAATCTCTTTCAGTTTGAGGCCAGCCTGGTCTATAGAGTGAGTTCCAGGAAAGGCCCAAAGCTACACAGAGAAACTCTGTCTTGAAAAACCAAAACAACAACAACAACAACAACAACAACAAAAGTATCTCTTCCTTGATATAAAATATAAGTGTAAGCTGGAGATTGAGAAGATCTTTCATTGATGAAGGAAAAGCTAGTGTGAGTAGGTCATAGAGACTGAGAAGAAAACAAAGTATGAAGAACTATAAGCACCTGAGACAGGATATAGTATGAAGGATTATCACACTACTGCATCTCACATTTGAATTATTTTGAAACTCTTGGAAAATAACTACATGAATAATTCTTGAGATTAAAAAGTACTTTCCTTAATCCAATGCACCCTCCCATCTCTTTTTGCTTTAGCATTTTCAGGCAGGCAAGTATTTTAAATAAGGTAAATTGGAAGGTGACAGACCTTGAAAATACTCATGAGAGCTCTGTTAACTACTTGGCATAGACAACCTTAAGCTCCCTTATCAAATATGATCACTTCTGTATAAAGTCTATTTTACTTTGATCATATTTCTCCAGCAGTTTCATAGGAGAAAGTTGTATAAACCCTTATTTTGGCCAGAAACCAGATTCTGAAACAAAAGATTATTAAGCATCTACTATTCTTTATTATTCTTTCACACCCCCCCCCCCAATCTCATTTTGAAACTTGTATTGATAGGTGGCTGTTTGGACTGACTAGAGAATACAAGAGAAATTCCATTCTGTGGAAACTAGGCAAAGGAATTTTTGTTTGGTTGTTTCTTTTCTCACTGGAAAGATACAGAGGAAAAAAAAAGACACAGAATATAGTTGGACAGTATTGTTATGAAGTGAAAATCGATGCTTCAGGTTCCAAAAATACAAATGCAGACACGCTAGGGGAAAGAGTTTTTCTGGCGTGAATGAAAATCTCCTTTGTTCAGAATGAGCACCTTTGAATTTCACTCCTCCCTGAGAGTCACTGACCAATTTTTGCTTGGTAATTGTCAAGGAGTATACAAGATTTTCCTCATTCATCCTTGCTTGAAGAGTCGAATACTCACATTTCTTTTCCATATCAAACCTCCAGGATAAATAATCTATTTCACTGAAGCCTGTAAAATGAATAGAGCTTTTACCATTCTCCTTAACATTTTAAATACTACCTCTTTGCTGCCTACCTGGACGCTTCACCGTAGAACTACAACACCCAGAATGCACTGTTTTTCCTTCCGCCTTCTACCGAGAAACTGCCTAAGGAACTCTGAGCCACAAACTACTGTCACATGACACGTTTCCTGTCAAGATGGCGGATAATCTCCCTTCGGATTTTGATGTGATCGTAATAGGGACGGGTATGTGTAGCCCTGGTTTTTCCTGGACAAAATTTAGGAAATAATTCTCGCCTTTTAGTTTGTCTGTCAGTGGCAAGGGTTGGCGAGAAACGGCAGGGGTCGAGCCTGAGAGGGAGGTCGGAAAGGAAGTGAGGTAGTCTGGAGTCCGCGCGGGACTTGGCAGCTGGCCTTTGGAGGGAGGGGCTTGGGCCCGCGGTGTTTTGCGCCGTTTGAGTAGGGGTCGATCTGGTCGATGCCGGTTGCTGAGGTTGGTTTCTGCGGTGATTCCTGTTAATTTCCTTAGAGGAGGGTGGGTTTGCAGTGTCATGAGAATGGAGGGTCGGGATTTGATCAATGGATTCGCCATTGGCATAACATAATTGCCTCCTTCCCTCCTCGTTGATTTCAAGGTTATATTCCCCATCAATTTCTGTCGCTATTTCATAGGACTTTTTCCATATACTTACATGATTCTAGGATACGTTGCAGCTCAGATGCAGCTTAATTTGCAGTTTTATAAGAATGATGCTCAGTTACCCCTGTGTATTTTTACTAAGGAAAAGATAACTCTCTTTTTTTGTTGTATTGAGTAGCCTAAGGGCCTTTCCCCGCCAGAGGTAGCCATTATTCTTGCATTATGGTGTTTGAAGCATCCTTGTTTTTGTTGCAGAAAGGAAGCATACTGTTTTCTTTCACCCATCTATACACCACAAATAGATATGCTCAGAAAAAGCTCCAGTGTTTCAGATCCCATGTCTGACCTTAGCTTCTCCTTGCTTTTCCATCATTAGTTCTCCATGTTTTGGGTGGAGCCAGAAATCCTTTTCAGCTTCTAGTTGACTAGTTAATCCTACAACACTTGGCAGCAATTAACATTTCTTAACTGTAAGGGATGTACGTTGCATAGTATAAAAGAGATAGTGGGGTGGGTTTTTCTACCGTCTATAGAATGTGGTAGGCAGCAGAAGCTTTGGTGAATGGGATTCTGTCCATTGTGCTAATGAATTCAGTTTCCTCTGTTCTCAAAGAGTAAAAAAAGCCATATTTCCAGGTTTAGAGTGAAAACAATAGCAACTCGTTTTCAAATGTATATCATTTCCTAATCAATGGATTAAGTACTTCATAAAACCCCAACAACAACCTTGCTAGGATGGTTATTCTTTTCAGTACATAGAAGAGGAGAAGCAGCCTGGAAGTCTAACTTGCCAAAGTCACATAGTTGATAAATGTCCAAAGGCCAGTACTATCCAAGAAATGGAAGAACTTTTTTTAACTCTCAAAATTGTACTATGTTAGCAGAAATAACTGAGAAAACTTAGTGTAGATATGTAATGGGAGAATCAGACACTCAGCATTTCAATTTCCACAATTTTGAATATAAGAAGGGTAAATCAAACAGCCTTTAAAGGTCTTATCCAAACACAAATTCCCATGTTCTAGATGTACCTGGGTAGTTGTTCTCAGAACAGTGGGGGTGTGTTAATTTTCAGCCTGAAGATAACTATGGCAGTAGCTAACCTGGTTGTAACTGCAGTGAACAGATGTTGGATGAGAGCTTGAAACTCCCAGGAGACTATTCACTTTTCCCAGTCTGCTCTCAAACTGAGAACACCATCCATTTTAGAATAAGGTGCTTTTCTTAAAAGTTGTACTTGAATTCTATTTGATTTGGGTGACGTGTGTTAACTTTTATTAAATGTTTTAGATACATTAAAAGTGCAAACATTTGGTGAAAGTCATTTTTCAAATAAAATGATTCTGACAGTTTCAATCATTGCTTTTAATTGAACTGATTTTTAAAACATTTTGATTTCCTCCCCCAATACTTTGCTGAATTAGACTTCAAATGTGTTGGCCTTATTAAATTAATATGTAGACAACTTACAGGAGAAACAGTGTTTCATAAGTTCAGTTCTCTTAACCAAAGCAATTTGTATTTTTACTTTTTGAATGACATGGTTTAAAGCTTTCCTTTAAGGTCACATTTTCAAGCTATGATGGGGAAATGATATAGAATACTCAATAAAAAATTAAGATTCAGTTCTTGAACTGTGGGGGAAAAGATAAAAAGAAAATAGATCAAAGAAGGAAAACCAATTGGAATCTCAATGGAGAGGATAAAAAGGACATAAACTATTAGAATGTGATCTTTGGCTTGGGCACGCTATTGTCATTTCAGAATAGTTTGGCATTTAAAAATGATTTTAGTGATAATTTTATGGGTTATGGAAAAGTTATCATTAGGTGCAGATTAAAAATTATCCCAGTAACAAATTGTCACTCGAAGTGACTTTTCCGGTAACTTGTATGATCTCCAGCAAAGCCAAAAACTCACAAGTGCGGAAGAAATCAAAGTTATAAAGGTTATATGATAATGTTGACATATGCCATGCATAGGAGCATACTTCAGCTCCTCACGTGGAATATGTATTCTTATTTTAGAAGGAATTCTAGCATGCTTAGAATGTACTATAACAACATCATTTGGAAGCACAGACTGTTATCACCTATGAAGAATATGTTTGGCTGGTGCTATTAGATGTATAGCTGACTGAAAATTCATAGCTCTATAAGAAAGGGAATACATATGAAGTGACATAATGGGTTGACATTTTTTAGTGTAAATACACACATATAATCAGTCAATCAATTTTCATGATACTCGACTTCTATTGAGTACCTACTCCCCTTGTGCTTGTAATATTTACTGTATTGCCTTTAAATGTTTTGGACTTCCTCAGAGTCATAGTTCTACAGTTTTTCCTAAAAGCATGGAAATTTTTCGTGTCATGGGTTCTTTATGAATTTAATAAAGAAATTCAGTCTGCATGCTGTTCCTTCTTAACCATGCTGCTTTATCTTTACCAAAAGTTCCTCCTCTAAGAGACTATGTAGTAAGCGAGCTTATTTAATTTCTTAGTTATTTTCTTGAAGAAGATCTTTTCTCTTCGCTCCCTCTCTCCCTCTCTCCCTCCCTTCAGTCTTGTACTGGTCTTTGAACCTGGGCCTTTGCACATGCTGTGGAAGTACTCGAATGAGCCACATCCCCAGCCCCACTCAGATCGTTTTTTTAAAGAGCTAGGTAGCTGAAGCTTCTCTAAGGTTAGGGTTTACCATTGTGTGTATGTAAATGACCCTGTGTTTTCTGTAGCCTTTTAAAGAAGTTGAATTTGTGTTCTATATATTGTACTGATTAAAACAATTTTTAAAGTTAAGCTGCTTTTTCCAGGAATGTTCATGTAGATAGCACAGTCCCATTTTGATGTTTCAGAATGCAGCATTGAGGTAGTTAACTTTAAAGGCTGGCAGCTCATTCAAGGATTTTAATGCTTCTGATATCAGTAGGGTACTATTTCTAAACCTTGCTGAATAATAATGCTGCAGGAAGTGGTGTAAAACCTGATATTTGCCGAATAGCACTTATGCTATGTTCAGCACAAGTGATTTCCCATATTTACAGACCACTTAATACTCTTCTTAGGATGTTTATGTGTGCTTCTGTTATCATAGTATGCACATATTCCTTCCCTATATCTCCAAACATCCTTATTTGTACTGTTGAGAATGTTTGTGTGTGTGTGTATATGTGTTATTTATTTTTTAACATCCCAACTACAGTTTCCTCTTCCTCCTCTCCTCTCAGTCTCTCCCCCTATTTCTCCTCTGCTCCACCCACCCACCCCCAACCACTTCAACATTTCTGTTCAGGAAAAGGCAGGTGTCCTGTGGATATCAACCAAACATGGCATATCAAGTTGCAGTAAAACTAAGTACTTCCCCATGTGTTAGTACTGGGCAAGGTGACTCAGTATGAGGAGTAGGGTCCCAAAAGCCAGCAAAAGTCAGAGACAGCCTTTGCTCCCACTGTTATGAGCCCCACAAGAAGACCAAGCTACACAACTGTAACATATATGCAGAGGGCCTAGGCCAGTAACATGCAGGTGCTCTGGTTGTCAGTCGATTCTCTGTGAGCCCCTATGAACCCAGGCTAGTTTATTCTGTAAGTTTTCTTGTGGTGTCCTTTACCCCCGTGGTTCCTACAGTCCCCACCCCCGTTTTCCACAGAATGCCTGAGCTCTGCCTGATGTGTGGCTGTGGGTCACTGCATCTGTTTCTATCAGTTGCTGGATGAAGCCTCTCTTATGACAATTGGGCTAAGCACCAAGAGTGGCGGCTTTGTTTTTTTAATTGCAAGTTGCCACTTCTCTGTAGTTCATGAAATGAATGCTAGCCCTTAAATGAGTAGATTATATAATATTAATATATATATATATATATAATAAAAGATGAATGTATTCTCTTTATACACAGCAAAATTATAATGTCCAGAAAACATTAAGCAACTTAATAGTAAATAATATTGAAAGTAGTATTTCAAAGGTCCTTTAGACCTTCCATATAGATTCTGCACACTTTTACATACATATGTCTCATTTGTGGAGTATAATGTGGTGATTAGTAGCATGGCTGTGGAATCAGCCAAATTGAATTTGAATTCCAAGTATGCTTCTTGTGCCACCTTAGGCACATTCCTTAACCCTTCTTAAGTTTCACCTTATTTCTAAATAATTTCTAGGATGAGTTCCACCAACTTGTGTTAAATGTTGAAGAAATAATTCTGATAAAATGTTTACAAAATGTTGCTGATTTTTGTGGTTTGAAAAGCCATACTGAGGTGCTTTTATTATCATTACTGTTTAGCCTGAATGGCTTCAAGGAAGAGCTCATGATTTGCATGGAGTGTCCTGGATGGATGCTATTGTAAGGTTCATTAGCTTCCTCTTACCATTGCTACTTGATTGGAAAGAGCTTTGTGCATTGCTACTTTTAAGAAAAAAATCAGATTTTTTTTTATCTGGTAGCTTATAGATGATATTCTTCCTTTTCTTGAGTTTAGTTCACCAGGTTGCATTATTTATCATCTGTTCTGAGTAGATTTATTAATTCATTTTAATTGAGGATATAGTGTGAAGTCCTGTTTCAGTGCTTATAAATGCTGTAGGAGGTAAAGAAAGCCTACA